TCCTCCTCCCCCCCCCCCCCCCCCTTCCATTTTCAAAGTTCACAGAATAGGCATCCAATGTTGTGTAGGCCAGTACTACTTCATTATAAAGCAATAGAATCTTGTAAGTCTGAATGTACATCCCCCTCTCACCCATTGTTTTCATGAGAACTAAGGTAAGATTGGACAAGATCTTTACTCAGGTTACATCCCTGCCGTGGACTCCTTAGTCCACTTTTATCTGATCATTGTCTTGGTAGAGGCGTTTTCTAATGGTCATTTCTTCAGCCCTCTATATCCTCACTTCCTGTAATCATATCACTTACACCAGGGGTGTCAAACTCGCAGCCCACGGACCAGATGTGTCACGTGCTGGCCACACCCACCCCTGGTTTAGCAAAGGGGAAAAAAGTCACCAAGTCATGTGATGACAACGTCACGCTGCAAGTTTGACACCCCTGACTTATGCCTTTGCCTCATCCTAGTTTCTCCCATTTAACTTACAGTGTCTGAATTTCCCAAGCCTTGGAAACAGTCATAAAACAAGATATGAATCATTATTGTTGTTATGAACCACCAGATTTACTATTGGAAAACTATATCTTTGTTTGGATCAATAGTATTTACCTCAACTGAATTTATATCAGTTGAGAAAGCAGCACAACAAATAAATTCTTCAGTTAAGAACTGTTTATTCGAATGCAGTCTCTATTTATATATATATATATATTAAGAAGTTGTTCCTGATGCTCTCTCTAGTCACACTTGATTTATGTATATTACAAAATGCTAGTAGTGCTTATTTCTGAGAAATTGATGCCCTAAACACAATTTTTTTAATGTGATATTTGTTTAGAGATGACAGAAATTTGAAAGCAAGATACTTTAGTCATCTGTTTTCTCATCCCTTTCTTTCGAAGTCTTTTAGACTTTCATTATTTCTTACCTTATTATAGTTATATACTGAATCACTGCCATAAAAGGTATTCTTTGTATAATGGAAATGTAGATTCTTAGGCTATAAATGCCTTTAGAGCTGAAGCCTTTACATCAGGGATGTCAAACTCGATTTCATTGAGGGCCGGATCAGGGTTGTATTTGACCTCAGAGGCTGGGGGGGCATGGCAGGGTGGGTGTAGCCAGTTCAACATCACTCGTGTCGGGAGTGGCTTGAGCGCTTTGCCAGCGAAAAGGGGCTCCCGAGTTCCATTTTCTGCTGCAACAGACTTCTGAAACTCTCTGCCAGTGAAAACAGAGCTCGGGAGCACCACCCACGGCTCTCGCGAGCTCTGTTTCCAGCCGCGGCAAACTCCTGCAACCCTCTGCCTGAGAAAATGGAGCTCAGGAGGGCCACACATGGCCCTCCAGACCTATAGTGTCCCTGGCAGAGGCCACTGGCCGGTCCTTTGCTGTTTCCAGGCCCGTCCTGCGGGTGAGATCTAAGCACCCCATGGGCCAGATGCGGCCCCCAAGTGTTGATTTGACACTCCTGCTTTACATGCTATGAATATGCTTGCCATTGCCTCCATTTTAGGGCTGAGACAGAGTGACTGGCCCAAGGTCATCCAGTTGGTTTTGTGCTTAAAGTGGGACTAGAATTCTTGGTTTGTAGCCTGGTACATTAACGGCCACACCAAACTGGCTCTTTGTAGAATATACTACAGCTGCAATATTAAACTGTGTAATTTGGAGACATAATTCTGTGACCAGCTTCCAAATTCATGGTATCTTTGGTATTTTGAGAATTTGGCTTTCCTTGGTGGAAAATTTGGGATGGAATTTTTAATTGTAGCTCAGGATTTATTTATTTTTTACGTATGAGTGTAATAGCCTATGTGCCATTTTATTAATACAGATGAGGGTCATGAAAGATGACAAAGATTAACTGGTAAACAAAGATTAATTGGAGCAGTATTATTGCCTTTAAGCTTTGCTTATAGGATTTCCGGAAGCATCTCTGGCCTTTGATGGAAATAGGCTACTTGACAGATGTTCCTTGTTTATCTCATCCAACAAAGTCCTTCTTATTCTTTACACATAGATTCATTTCTACACAGGTACTCTTCTTGTTAGAAGAAGCAACAATAGTTCAGTAACAGAATACCTGGTATTCTATGTGAAGTTTCAGGTTTAGATTTCAGCACTCTCTGAATAAGACTGGAAAATAACTGTGCCTCAAATTTGTTTGTTCAATTTCTATAGCCACTTTATATAATAAGGATATATAATAAATCTATTTAAAAAGCAGTAGATGTGCAGGTGCGTGTTTGATGGACTCAGCAGATAATGGTAAAGACTGCAGTTGAGTTGAAAATGTGTCTCAATTAATAAAAGATGGAGCCTGAGGCCAAAAAGAAAAAAAAAAGAAAGAAAGAAATATCTAAGAGTGATGAAAACATTACATGAATAAGTGACCCTGTGCTCCCTGCTAAAGAGCCATTTCATTCCTCACCCCAATCTTCCACTTCCTCTCTCCAGTGGAAGGTCTCATATGGGCCAATGTGACAAAAATCTATTAATCATAGTGTTTGGCAGAGAATTTCTCCTACTTTTTCTGCCTTGCAGAGAATATGATCTGAAAAGGGAAGAATATTTTAGAGAAATCGGTGGGACGGAGGTAGCATTTCTGCACTCATTTCATGATACGAATGACATCATAACAGCGTTGAAAGGGACTTTGGAGGTCTTCTAACCCTTGCTCAAGCAGGAACCCTATACCAGGGCTGTCAAACTCGATTCAATTGAGGGACGTATCAGGGTTGTGTTTGACCTCAGGGAGGGCGGGGGTGGTGGTGGCCAGGGTGGGCATGGCCAGCTTGACGTCACTTGTGTCGGGGGCGCCTATGGTGGCCTGAGTGCTGTGCCAGCTTAGGAGCACTGCAAAATCCCCACGGGCTCCCAAGCTCCATTTTCAGCTGCAACGGCCTCCTGCAACTCTCTGCCAGTGAAAATGGAGCTTGGGAGGGCCACACACAGCCCTTCCGAGCTCCGTTTTCACTGGCAGAGGCATCATGGGCTGGTCCTTCACTGTTTCCAGGGCAGCCCCGCGGGGCAGATCAGCCCCCGGGCCTTGAGTTTGACACCTGCCCTATACCAGCCTATATCAGACAAATGGTTGTCCAATCTCTTCTTAAAAACCTCCAATGTTGGAGCACCCAGAATTTCTGAAGGCAAGCTGTTCTGCTGGTTAACTGTCCTCACTGTTAGGAAGTTTCTCCTTAGTTCTAGTTTGGTTCTCTCCTTGATTAGTTTCCATCCATTGTTTCTTGGTCCTGCTTGCAGATGCTTTGGAGCAGTAGTCACCAACTGGTGGTCCATGGAAAATGTTGGTGGTCCGCAGAAAAATATTGTACTAAATCAGGGGTCCTCAAACTATGGCCCCTGGGCTGGATATGTGCAATGATTGGTTGTGTTGCTGCAGAGAGTCTCCCCCTTTGGGGTCTTTTTGTTGGAGGGGGGACAGAAATTCCAACTTGGGGTCTGCTTCAGCCTCCTGGTGCGGGGCGTTGGGCAAAGGCTGGAAGGAAGCGCCACTGGTGGCAAAGAGCTGGAGGACCTTGTTCCAGTGGGACTGCATCATGTCCTGGAAGTGGCTGACCATCTCAGCCCGCTGAGCCTCAAGGTGCCGGTACTTGGCCTTGCACTCCTGCAGGTCTTCCCTCTGCTTGGAAAGCCTATTCTCGTAGTCCTCAGTGTGGTGCTTCTGCTGAGCCCCCTTCTCGGCCAGATCCAATTTGAACTGAGCTGTTTTGCCAACTCTTTCTCGTGGTGGCTGCTTAGTTCCAACAACTGCTTCCTGTTGGGGCCCTAAGGAGCCTAGGCGGGCAGGTGAGGAGTGGCTGGGAGGGAAGGGGCGAGTAGAGGCCAGCGAGACGCCCCTCGATGTGAGTGACATAAAGTTGGCCACACCCACCCAGTCACATGGTCACCTAGCCATGCCCACCCAGCCGGTCATTAGACAGATCATATTAGTGGTCCATGGGATTTAAAATTATGAAGTTAGTGGTCCCTGAGGTCCGAAAGGTTGGTGACTCCTGTTTTGGAGAATAGATTGCCCCCCTCTTCTTTGTGGCAACCCCTTGAGTATGGTATCCAATATGTGTGCGTGTGAAAGTATTGATTCTTGCCCCAGGTATAGAGAAGTTAGATGTTCTTGAAGGTCTGTTACAACATGCCTTTTGTCTTATTCCATTCCTACCACCTGCCTATGTACTTATGTACACTCTTCGCACACTACATATAAAACTGTCTTCATAATTTCCTTCTCTGGTGACCTTCAGTGTTCACTTACGGACGTGGGTTGTGACTGTATCTTATGATCTCCAGGAAGGCAAAACCCAGAAATGGCTGCCGCTGTCATTGCGGAGTCTGTTACGGTTGTCGTATTGTCATATGAGTGCTTTGATGCACCAGTAAATTAATGACAAAACCACCCACATTAGTCTTCCTGATTGCTTAGCAGGAAAAGCGTAGATGCTAAAACTACTTCCATCAGAATGAGTAACTGACATTTGGCTATCTGCACAGATTGGCTGACTGGAATGGGATGTATTTGCATATTTCATGTGTTCACTGTTTTGACTCAGTGACCCTTTTTGGATAATTAAATATTATGAATGCTCCTTTGTGTTTGTTTCCACTCCCTGCAAAGGGGATACTTAAAAATATAAGATCGGTAGAGGTTTTTTTTATACTTTGCTACAACAGTCATTTTATGATCAGGATTGTTACACGTTCTCAACATTTGAAATGTGTCCCGGAGCCAAAATGTTTGCCTGCCTCTGAAATCTGTTAAATATATGTCTTCATAGATAATCAAGCTAATGAACTGATCCTGTTGACTTCTAACTTTGCACTACTTACCTTAAAGGGATGAAGCAATCAAGCGGGAATAAATTATATTTAGAGATAAGGCCTGTCCAATTTATGAGAATTGATGACTTTGAAGCTTTGTTGATAAATTATTGGCCCTGATGTGCAACTGTGAAATCTAACTGACTTATTTGTTTGATTTGTTCTAGGGCCGTCATGTTAAAACCGGGCAACTTGCAGCTATTAAAGTCATGGATGTCACTGGGGTAATGTATTCTTATCTCACTTTCTAAATTATGAATGTGCATGATTAAAGTGCAAGGCAATTCACTCAAGAATTTGAAAGCATCCAGAAATTATTTAAATGTTGATTTGGTTTCCATTGGCTCGAGTTGCAACAATATACATGGAGAATTGCCAATAATCACAGCATTTTTTTTTCTAAAGTGCCAGTTCATTTCATATAAAGGCCAACATCAAGATATTTAGTGTCTTCAGGGGGAAAAAAATCTCATTAACAAAGGACAGCTAATGTCATTTGGTGATTGTTTTTAAAAATATTTTTCTTGCTGTTCAACATACAATATGTATTGCCTATGTGCTTTGATAAGCAAGGAGAGACCTGCACAAGGTATAACAGTAATTACTATTTAATCATTTATTTGCTTCGTTCTCTGAAAAACAATGAAGATTGCTTCTCCACACACTATTTTGGCAACTCTTTGTGGTGTTGGATGCAAAAAAAAAAAAAAAGTACTGTAAACAGCTGAAATTTCTCAAGAAAACTAAATTTCATAAAATTTCATATAGCTAATCACAAATAGCCCTTCAAAATTCCACACCCTGCTTGTGAACAAGGAAGTTGGATGGACAATTACTGCATGTTTGTCTTAGAGAATATTCTCCAGAGGTTCCTTAAAGGAACAGCTCTCTTCAGTAACAATAGTTGTGTCACTATTCAAGAAGCAGAACATGAAGGCTTTCCTTGGGATATAATTAACACATGAGTCAGGGAGGCTACGGACCTCTGGAGCAATGACTGTACGTTGAAAAATGGGATATGCACACCTATTCTTTGGACACCTAAACACAAAATATATGGAGATCACACTCCATTCATGAAATGTTCTCTGAAATTATCTTCCCTTTTGGAACACTTTATAAAATGCTCTGTTTTATGCAATTTGAATGATAACTAATAGGAAAACAAAACAGAACTTATACGCCTGGTATCAATTTTAGCACTTTTGAAATATCACAAGAACACAAGTGTGAACACTGGTATTGAGAGAACATGTTTGATTTAGGCCACTAACCATAAATATATTTAACAGTGAAACAGTGAAATATTTTTTGTTATAGATATTTCCATTAATTTGGAAGATGTGTGTATCGGTAGGAGTAGATGCCAGTTGCTGACTCAGGCCTTACACCTGAGATCCATTTTTATCAACAAAGAAAATTGTCCAATGCGTTCAGCAGTGGGTTTCCAATATTCTCACCACCGGTTCGCCCTGCGTGCCTTCCCGCATGCACCCAGTGTTGTGACCCAGGCCCACATAGTTAATATTAAATGCAAAACAGTTCCAAAAAACAAACAGATTTTATTAAAACAGCTGAGAATTAACTCATTCTCAGCGTATTCCAAATTAAATGAAAGCAAAGTCCTCAAAACACCATTCTTCAATTTACCTCTGACCTTAGGATAATTAGGCAAACTACCAAAGGCTTTTCTTGGCAACAGTTCAGGAACAGAAGACACTGACAAGAAAGAAATGCATCCAACCACGAAGCAAATCTCTCAACGGTTGTTTTCTGGCAAAGAGGCCAAGAGCCATTACTGGTCTTTTAAGCCTTATGGGAGGGGCCAATCATCTCTTGGCCCTACTCCCGAGTCGTCCTCTCTGCTTTAGCTGCTCCTGCCTTCTGGCAGCTCTTCTCATACGTGCACTAGGAACAGGCTCCTCCTGTTCCTCTCCCTCTCTATTGTCAGCCTCTGGAGGCTCCGAAGTCCGCACATCACTCCCCGATGGCCCTGGCCCCATCTTTGCCTCCGACGCAGAGTCCTCAACCGGGCCTTCCCCAGCCTCCAGGACTGGCCCATGTTTTTCCTCAGCCTCATCGCTGTCGGACTCTGCTGCCAGCTCCGCAGGCTGCTGGCGGACCACAACACCCAGCCTTCCACGCACTCGCTTTTCTCACTCGCGCACCTTCCATGGATGCACCCGGCCCAGTGGTGGGTTTTAAAAATTTTTACTACCGATTCTGTGGGCGTGGTTTGGTGGGCGTGGCAGGGGAAGGATACTGTAAAATCTCCATTCCCTCCCCAATCCAGGGGAAGGTTACTGGAAAATCTCCATTTCCTCCCGATGAGCTGGGACTTGGGAGGCAGAGAATAGATGGGAGCGGGGCCAGTCAGAATTTTTACTACTGGTTCTCCGAACTACTCAAAACTTCCACTACTGGTTCTCCAGAACTGGTCAGAACATGCTGAAACCCACCTCTGGCCCGGCCTCAAAAATGTGCCTAAATCGGACGGCATAGAGCCGGGGCTGGTGGGGGGCCCACCTGCAATCTCCGCTACCGGTTCGCCGGAACCTATATGAACTGGCTGAATACCACCTCTGAATGTGTTGCTTACACAGATTCTGTTTTCCTCTGGAGTTTCGTCTTTTGATCATTCCATGTGGTCTTTCCTTTATCTTTGCCAGCCTTTGAGATTCAGTTTTGTCAAACAGCCAGCTGGGTCAGGCATGTTTTTAACACCTGAATAGAGAGTACAGTGGTCCTACCAATCAAACAGTTGGCTGCAATTGATCTGGGCTTTTATAAGATCCTTTTTGTGAGTTGCCTCTTGTTTACATCACCGTAACATTGCCCACCTTCATAATAAATTCCTAGCTTTTATTTTACAAAGCACATACACTCATTGTTGCTGCTTGTGTGAAATACTGTAATGTGGATAAAATAATAATTCAATAATGATTAGATTAGGTTTTAATTTCTGTCATGGGTGCAAAGTGTTACACAAAGCAGTTTGAGGGACTTTTATTTATTATATTTACAATATTAGAATAGAGTGGAATAGAATAGAATGAATAGAATAGAATAGAATAGAATAGAATAGAATAGAATAGAATAGAATAGAATAGAATTCTTTATTGGCCAAGTGTGATTGGACACACAAGGAATTTGTCTTAGAGGTATATGCTCTCAGTGTACATAAGGAGAATAAAATACATTCATCGAGAATAAAAAGATACAATATAGTCATGGTTACTAATAAGGTATCAAATCGTACTAGGAAACAAATAAAAACAATATAAATTGAAAGATACAAGCAACATGGTTACAGTAATAAGTGGGAAGAGATAGATACTAGTAAGGAAGAGAATAATAATAGTAATACAGTCTTAGTAAATTATTTGACAGTGTTGTGGGAATTAGTTGTTAAGCAGAGTGAAGTATATGGCAATTGATTTTATTGCATTCCTTTGCAATATTTGAATGCATTGAATGTATGCAATTGCCTTACAAGTAGTTCTCGTTTAACAATTGTTTGAAGTAACAAGGACTTGAAATGGGTACCTTGCAACCCTAACACATTAAATGAGGACCCAGATTATTGAGGGCAATATCATGACTTTGTAAACCACTTAGGGCTGTAAAGCATATATAAAGTATATATATATATATATATATGTAAAGTATATATAACTCCAAGTGCTATAAAGCACTTAACAGCTGTCTGTCACATGACAGTACAGGTAGTCCTCGACTTATGACCACAATTGAGCCCAACATTTCTGTTGCTAAGTGAAACATTTGTTAAGTGACTTTTGCTCCATTTTACATCATCTCTTGCCACAATTGTTAAGGGAATCACTGCAGTTGTTAATTTAGGTTGTTAAGTGAATCTGGCCTCCCCATTGATTTCGCTTGTTGGAAGATCACAAAAGAGGGTCACGTGACCTGGGGACACGGCAACCGTCATAAATATGAGTCAGTTGCCAAGTGTCTGAATTTTGATCACATGACTATGGGGATGCCGCAGTGGTTGTAAGTGTGAAAAACAATTGTAAGTCCCTTTTTTCAGCACCATTGTAACTTTGAACTATCACTAAATGAACTGCTGTAAGTTGAGGACTACCTGTATTTCAGGCAGTTGGCAACCTGCTCACATTTATGACCGGTTGCCAAGTGCTCTACAGTCATGTGAATGCAATTTACAATTTTACCTGGTTGCTTAATGACTGCAACTGAGAGAGTTAGGATCATAGTCATTGAGTAAAGCAGTCACGTGGCTTCTAACTTAATGATGATTTTGCTCTTGTGACCAAGATTCCAGGCCTAATTGTAGTCATAAGTGGAGGACTACTGAGAGACTTTTGAATTTGCTAGCATTTTTCAATAGCACCAGGAAGCTGGATAGTAGTTGGATAGGGTACTATCAGGAAACGCCACTGCTGTAGAGTAGAGGCTTGGAAATCTCCATCCCATCCAAAAATAAATTCCAGAAGAAACAAGTGACAAGAAAGTGCTTTTCTATTCTTTTCTATTACTGTCAAGTCCAAAGACTCTTTTTTAAAAGATAACTGGTCTTTCTTGAGTTTTTTCCTTGAAAATGTTTTGCTTCTCACGAGAAGCTTCTTGGATGAGAAATAAAATGTTTTCCAGGGAAAAAAAAACCCAAGGAAGTCCAGATGCCTTTTGGAAAAGGACTTTTGGGACAACCTGGATGATTGAGAAGCTCCATTGACGTACTGCTATCAAGAGTATTTTCTAGACTTTACTTTCTCTAGTATTTCTAATTTGTATGTTGGTTTGGTGTCCCTCCCTTCAAAGAGGTAGTCTGTCCTCTTTGAAATAAATATTGATATAGAAATTGCTAATTCTCTCTCAAGTAGTAAGACAGTTGTCAGCCCTGGAAACCATCTTTTTCTTTGGACCTTCAGGGCTGCCACATTTAGTGCTGTGGGAAACCGGGAGGGGGAATTGTATGGGGTTGCGGAGATATCTAGCCAAAATAACATTCCTTTCTCTGAGAGTCAAGGACAGTCTGCCTGCACCTGGAGTGGTGTGACTAGGAGGCATCTCCAGTTGGGACGGTGCTTTGATTGGACCATGTGATGGATATGTGGGTGCAGGGAAAGGGACTTGGATTTTCTTTTGGGTGGGGAAAACCTGGAAGCTTTCAGATTCGGGTGTGCCAATATGACATCTCTAACAAAATGGAATCTGGATATCTGTGGTGCACCAGCTGTTGAAGACACTATACATATTCTATTTGGTTGCCACCTATATTCCGCAGAAAGAACCATTTACTTAGATCTTTAATTAAACACTGGAAAAAAAATACTGGGACATCGAGTTGATAAAAGGAACTGAGATTTTCTAGGTGTGTGGCTGGGTAGTCTTTTTATGGGGAAAATAAACAATTTGCTTGCTACAGAAATCCAGAAGGAAAAATATAAAATGACTTAATGTTTTTCTGGAAATGTAAGCACTCTAGGAATTGTTTAATAAGAGTTTTAATTCACTAAACCGCATGCTATTTTTAAGATTTATGGCTACATGTCTTGCCTAGAAATATAGTGTGAGATTGTCTTCAAAAAGAATTTGCTTTAAAAAAGACAAATTAAATGAGCTCTTTGTGCTCGCTCTCACGAATCGAAACAATTTCTTCCTTCTTTCATTCTTTCTCTTACACATGGCTTCCCCCCACTCATTCACTAATTCACTAATTCATTAAGAATTCACTAATACTTAAGTGCCCACCCTATTCATTAATACACAAACACTCCAGGGGTGGGTTCTACTTACCTTTACTACTAGTTTACAGCGGGGCCACACGCGCTCTTCTGTGCATGCGCAGAAGCGTTTTAGTGACGTCGGGGTCGGTGGGTGGAGCCTCCCACCAGTTTTACTACCAGTTCTATAGAACCGGTGTGAACTGGGGGTAACCCACTACTGAAACATACCTCTCTTTCCATCCTTCCACATATGTTTTGCAATTCTCCTAGGAGGGCTTGATAAAAAATAACAGTTTTGTCCCTACCTGTAATAGGTTTTTTTTAAAAAAAGGATAAGAGATCTCTAAGCCTAAAGCTTTTTAGTCTCAGAGTCATAGAATTTCCTCTGACAATGATAGCTGAAAATTGTTAGCAAAGTATTGCTATTTGGGATTGGGGAGTGGACAATGTATGAACACCAGTGGTTCGACTCCCGGTTCGGTCCGGTTCTATAGAACCAGTAGTAAAACCAGCAGGAGGCTCCACCCACCCGCCATGACATCATCATGGGTGATCTGCACATGCACAGAAGTTTCTGCGCATGTACAGAAGTGTGCGGACACAATCCCGTTGCAAACTGGTAGTAAAGGTAAGTAGAACCCACCCCGATGAACACTATAGTGCAGTGATCGTGAACCTTTTCAGCACCAAGTGCCAAACAGGTTGCACGGAAATGTCGTGCGTGTACCCTTGGGGTCGCGTTCCGGAAAAGCCAAACATCTGGGTTCTAGCATGCATGCGCCCAATGATCAGCTGGCCGGTGCACATGCACAGGCCAGTTTTCAGCACTGCTGCTCACATGAAGGGATCGCATTCTGGAAAAGCCAAACCTCCAGGTTCTGGCGCGCATACAAACCCAACAATCAGCTGGCTGGCGCACATGTACACACCAGTTTTCTATCTTCGAGACCGCCTTCTACTGCATAGCTCCCAGCGACCGGTAAGATCCCACGGAGTTGGTCTCCTCCGGGTCCCGTCAGCTAAACAATGCCGGCTGGCGGGCCCGTGGGGGAGGGCCTTCTCTGTGGCTGCCCCAGCTCTCTGGAACCAGTTACTTCCTGAGATCCAGACTACCCCCACCCTATTGGCCTTCCGCAAAGCGGTGAAGACCTGGCTTTTCCGGCAGACCTGGGGCCATTGATCTCGCTGTTGCGATCTTGCGAGATCCGGCCATGAATGGTGTGCATGGTCTTTTAATGTTTTTAAAATGTTTTTTATAATGTTTTTAAATAATTTTCCTATGTTCTTTGTTGTATTATTTTTTTGCTGTAAGCCGCCCAGAGTCCCTTGTGAGTTGGGCGGCATAGAAATTCGATATATTAAATTAAATTAAATTCAGCACTGCCACATGCATGAAGGATAGCTGATCATCGTGCGCACATGCGCACCAGAAACCTGGAAGACAAACAGGCAAGGCCATGCATGCCAGGCGACATAGCTTTGCATGCCACTTTGGGCACGCATGCCATAGGTTCGCCATTATGGCTATAGTCTGATTGTTAAAATTAGCATATTCAGTTAACAAAGAAAACCTCAAAAATTATTTCCCTCCACCCTCATACAGTTTTAAGTGGGCTTTTAACTCTGCCCCTCTCCATTATGTGTGGCCCACCCAAAAGCTTACTTATACCTATCTTTAAGCAAACAAACAACCTTCTTTTTCATATTATGAGATACCTGATTGACTGTGTTGGTGTTTCTAAAAAAAAACAAAAAACTGTGTACATTTTTAAAATGAGAGCCAGTTTGATGCAGTAGTTAAAGGAGTAAGGATAGAAACCAGGAAACCATGAGTTCTAATCCTGCCTTAAACAGCTGGATGATCTTGGGCCAGTCACTCTCTCTTAGCCCTAGGAAACAGGCAATGGTAAAGCCCTGTTAAAAAACTTGCCAAGAAAACTGCAGGAACTTGTCTATGGAGTCATGCATGCATATATCTATGTATGTGTTGTTTGAATGAAAAAGATTGTGATTTTGCTTTATTTCATCAGATGCAAGGAATAGAATTCTGTATGTGAGATGTGTGTTTGAATCCATACATAAACGTACGCATACACCGCCTGCTGATTTTTGCATGAAAGAAGAGTAACATATTCGGTCAATAACCAGCAAGATTTATAAAATATACCGCACAAGAATAAACCAAACGGATGGGGTAAAACACCAACATAGCAGAGTCTCTATTAAAAGTATAACATAAGCTACCATAATAATGTATATTAATAAACGATGCAAGTCTACAGTCTGTAAAATAAAAATGCATGTCTTCTAAAATAAAGTAATACAAAACACACTAATTCAATGTCAGAAATCTCCCTAGAATCTAAGTAGTTATTCTTGGAACCAGCTATGCCTTATTTTCATTGTGGAGACAGATCATTTAGCTACTGTGCAAGTAATGAAGGGTTTCAAATCTTCTAAAAGATGATATGCACACAAATCTTCTGGCCTTCCCGAAGATATAAAAGTGCGAAAAATGTGTGTGTTTTGCTAGTTATTTTCTTTATTCACATTCTACCAACCAACCAACCAACTCTAAGCCCCTCTAGCCTTATTCCTTTCTTTCAGTTCCTTCTGCCATTCATTCATCTTCAGTCCACCGTCCTCTATATTTTGGTTTTGCACATGTGTTGAAAGAGCATTTCCTACTTTCTGGCTCATAAATTCCAGGCTCCATTTAAACTCCAGTTGGAATTGAGTAGAATATTAGTTTGTTATAGGAAGCCGAACCATATGCCTTTAGTGCAAACTACAATTGACTTTACAAATTTGGATTGTAAAAAGTTAGTTTGAAATAGATTACTGTAAGACAGTGTGCACATTTCACAGATCGTTCTTTTAGAAATTGTTTTTTTTTTCCCCAGTCCTCCAAGGCGCCTCTAATGGTGCTTTTCTGATGCTCAAATGGTGTCCACGCTTAAAAAGAAGACAAAAACCCAAATAAATTATAATTTTACTTCACTTTAAATTGTTTAAAGTTAAATATAGGTAGTGAGATTAATCTGTAATCATATGTTTAATATGTTTTCTCCCCCAAGAGTAACCAGAAATGTTTCATAATTATTTCTGGAGAGACTGCATCCAAATCTTTTAAGGGTGCTTGTGATTGTGAAGCCTCTGATTGTTTCTGTCTACAGTAATCCAATTAACTTCATTGTTGCATGAAGCCAAAATACCAAACAGCCTAATGTAAAGGAAATGGAAAAATATTTACAAGTGGAGCTAAATTTATTCTATAATAAAGGGATAAAAGAGGAAGCAGAGTGGTGGAAATAAAAGCAAATGAATTGTTTTCGTTCGTCTGCATCAACTGATGAAGAGAAACAATCTCTGTGATAATAAGCCTGTTGTTGAATTGATGACACTGTTTTTTCCCCCTTTTTCTCCAGGATGAAGAAGAAGAAATTAAACAAGAAATTAACATGCTAAAGAAATACTCTCATCACCGAAATATCGCTACTTATTATGGTGCTTTCATTAAAAAGAACCCACCAGGAATGGATGATCAGCTCTGGGTAATACAGTTCTTTTGTTTGTATTTTAACAATCTTCACTTTTTATTTTCTGTGGTTGGATAAATCTTAAATGCAACCAGTGTATCAGTAGGTGACAATACCCACTCACCCATGGTTAATTTTGGAAGCTACGTAGAGTTGAGACCTGGTTATTACTTGGATGAGGAACCCCCAAACATATCAGAACTGTTGGAAAGTTGCAAAAATGTCCTTTAAGAAGATAATGTCAAACTATTCTTCCTCTGTAGTCACCAAGAGTTTGATTAGATTGAAGGGAGACTTTACTGCAGGTAGTCCTCACTTAATGAGCCTAATTTGGACCAGCCAAGCAAAGCAGTCGCGAAGTGGGAAATCATAGGACTGCAACAGTGGTTTTTGGCGGGAAAGCGAGAAGACAACTCAGTTTCACGCCTTTGCTTTTGTTTGTCCATTTTCTTCTTTCTGGGAAATGGGAAGCCAAGAAAAAGAAGCAATTTCTGCAGGCAATTTATCTTTTGCCTGACTCTTCCACTCATCCTCTGCAGAGCAGGGAGATTGGAGAGGAAGGATTTCAAGAGAGTAAGCTGCTTGCTCTTCAGGGGAAGGTAGAAAAAGAATCCCATAGATCAAGCAGTTAATAATACATACTAACTTTAATGATGATCATGTGACCAAAGGATGCTGAGAAAATCATAGATGATGTTAGTGGGCCATAAAGTTATTTTAAACAAACAAACAAACAAACAAACAAACAAACAAACAAACAAACAGCCATCTCTGGTTAACAGCCTTAATTGCAATCTTGGTTACAATTTTAAATCAGGAAAAGTTTGGCACACCGTTTCCAACTAAGAAATTTTTATTAAACTTGTCAGAAAAAGGGCCGTCAGACTCCTACTGACTTGTGGCTATTACAGACCAATGTGAATCTCCCGATACAAAGACTACGTTATTTTGAGAAGCCTATTTGCAAACTAGGTTAGTGTATTGTGTGAGCATGCCTAGTAAAAATAGCATGCACTGTAAATTAGGATGCAGGAAGATGTCTGTCTTTCTGGTCACAGAGGAGCCAAATTTATAGAACACAGGATTATCAAAAGCTCCTAGCCTTGAAAAGTGGATGCTGTGTGTGAAGGCACAAGAGCTGCTTAGTTCTACGTAGTAGGTGCACAAAGGTAACAGTGAGAAATAAAAACTGCTTCATTTTATATCTTGTTGGCTTTCTATTGGATCGTTGTGTGAGAAGGGAATGCTGATTAGATTGGCCTAGACGTGAACCAGCAGAGCTAGCTTCACGTCCTCAGTGGCAGCCCCATTCCAGGTCTGCAATTCTTCCTTCCACACTGAAATTTGTACTTAAAACAACACATTGTTGAACATTACTGTGTGATGTTTCACTTTGGCTTAACGCTGCATGTTACAAGCAGGAACAGAGAAAAGCACAACTTGTTGATGCTGAAAAAAGGTCTACGGTAAGTTGTCTGCAGGTTTTAAAAAGCAGTCTCAGCAGGGTTTGCAACAATTGTTTCTTCAGCATCCCTCGAAAAAAGATGGGATATAAATATTTATGAGATACCAGTGCTTCTGGTTTTGGTACGTTTGTTTACATTTATTTGAATGCCTAGAATGCATCTTTTCTTGCAAGCTTGCAGTTCAGCACCCGTGCATTGTTAAATATTTCCATAGTGGTTTTTTTTTTTAATACTAATTTCTAGAGTTTAGTCCATGATTCGAATCACCTGTTCAGAAAGTGTCCCTGGGTTGCAGCGGAGAGGTGAATGTACATTTTGTTCCGTGCGAGCAAATTACTATATTTTAGATGTCTGATTGAATTAGAACTGGTGACACTTCTATTCTTCCTGCTCTGGAGATAAATGCATCTTTTTTTTTTTTTGCTGTCATTGTTGCTGGAATAAAACTCCTGGATGATAAGGCCAAAGTAATTCTCTTTTATCAGTCCTCTGCTGAGGTGATAATGGAGAGGTGGAAGGGAAGTCAGAATTTTTTCAATACAGATTACGATCTCTCTGCAATAAGCCAGGTTTCTGACATATTCTATGGCTATCATGCTTGAAGTGCCTCTTTTTATTTGGTCTGCCCATATTGCTCTGTAACAAGGGGGGGAAAAAAACCCCCAACAGGTCTATTAAATGTTATCACCTTTCCTCAAATATGAAGGCGGCAAATCCTAGCCAAATTGTTCTCCAGGAAAAATCAAGTGCAGGTTCAGTTTTCTAAATACAAAGGGAAGTGAATCTAGTGAACTCCTCCTGGTTCCGTAGTATTCCAGTGTCTTTTCTTGTTTTCAAAAGCCATCATTTCAAACTATTTGTCCTGATAGGAGAAGTGCTCTTGGAAAATTTCAGCAATGGGTGGAAACTAATCAAGGAGAGAAGCAACTTAGAACTGAGGAGAAATTTCCTGACAGTTAGAACAATTAATCAGTGGAACAACTTGCCTCCAGAAGTTGTGAATCCTCCAACACTGGACGTTTTTAAGACAATGTTAGATAACCATTTGTCTGAAGTGGTGTAGGGTTTCCTGCCTAAGCAGGGGGTTGGACTAGAAGACCTCCAAGGTCCCTTCCAACTGTTATTCTATATTCTAAAATGAGAAAAATCTTTTTTAATGATCATATCAAGGCCATTTCAAAAGCAATGGGAGGGTTTATTTGGTACTTAGTAATAACAATAGCACTTAGACTTACCGTGTTTCCTTGAAAGTAAGACCCTGTCTTATATTTTTTTTGAACCCTGAAATAAGCGCTTGGCCTTATTGCCATGCACTCAAAAGCCCGATTGGGCTTATTATGTCTTATTTTGGGGAAAACAGGGTATATACCGCTTCACAGTGCTTTACAGCCCTCTCTAAGAGGTTTACAGAGTTAGCATATTAACCCCAGCAATCTGGGTCCTCATTTTACCCACCTTGGAAGGATGGAAGGCTGAGTCAACCTTGAGCCTGGTGAGATTTGAACTGTCAAATTGCAGGCAGCCAGCAGAAATACCCTGCAGTACTGCACTCTAACCACTGCGCCACCATGGCTCATAAAGCACCGTGGTCCTTTCTCTCTTATTCTAAGGTTCGGTCCTATTGACTGATTTCGTGGTTGGCTTTTAGTATTAATGGATGTAGTTATTTTAAGGGTACTGATTTGTGTTATTCTAAGTTGTTTATACAGGCAGTCCTAGACTTAGAACAGTTCGTTAATGACCGTTCAAAGTTACAGCAGCACTGAAAAAGTGACTTATGACCGTTTTTCACACTTACAACCGTTGCAGCATCCCCATGGTCACACAATCAAAATTAAGATGCTTGGAAACTGGTTCATATTTATGACAGTTCCAATATCCTGGGAAGACAATGAAATTGTCTTCTGACAAACAAAGTCAATGGGGAAGCCAGATTCACTTAAGAACCACGTTACTAACTCAACAACTTCAGTGATTCACTTTACCAACTCTGGCAAGAAAGGTCGTAAAGTGGGGCAAAATTCACTTCACAAATGTCTCGGTTAGCAACAGAAATGTTGGGTTCCATTGTGGTCATAAGTCGAGGACTACCTGAATCTGGTTCTATTGTCTTTCATAACTTTGAAATTGTGGCTTAATAATTGCTTTTAAGCTGCTAAACCACCTTGAATACTAAGTGATGGGAGAAGAAAGTGATGCATTTTCTTAATAAATATTGCAATGCTGGACAGCTTCTCGGTTTGCGGGAGCTGCCAGAGTCATTGGCAGTAGCCCAGCAGATATATTTTATGCACAGCAAATATTTTTGATGTTTTTAAAACCTTCTTCTCAAAGTTACCTCTATTTGGCAATCATGTCTTAAAACCCTTCTGAAGTGTGGAAAATAGGTGTTGGCAGAGCATTAAATCGAAATTCTAGCTTTAACATCTGTATGCGAGGACACCTCATTATTACAGTTTGAAAGGACTGCCCATTTTAAAGAAATATTAGTGAAGAGATGGTTCTATATCATAATAGAGATAATAAATAGTTTTGACTTACAGATCTCTGCACCCAGAATTAGACCAGAATCTTAATCAGCTTTCACCAGTTAGGGAAGGCCACAGTGGGAAATGTGGGCTCTGATTGTGGAATTCTGAGAGTTATAGATATTTCTGGAGGTTTGCTAGGTTGGCCATACTTTGAATATAATATGATTTATCACTTATAGCTTTTATAATGAGAGCTTATGCACCGAAGACAAATTCCTTGTGTGTCCAAACACACTTGGCCAATACAGAATCTATTCTATTCTATTCTATTCTATTCTATTCTATTCTATTCTATTCCATTCCATTCCATTCCATTCCATTCCATTCCATTCCATTCCATTCCATTCCATTCCACTCCACTCCACTCCACTCTATTCTACATGGGAACCCAGGTAGATCACAAAACGAGGCTTTCGAATCTGGCTTGCATTGTAACCAGGGCAATAGGAGGATTGTCCCCAAACTTCAGAATTGTCCTCTGGTTACCTTTCCTTCATTACTCCCCTCCCTTGCTTTGCTTCTCCTTCATCTTTTCCTTGTTGCTTTCAGACTTTTCTTGAGCAAGGAATGTGGCACTTAGCATGGCAGATCGTAACTCCCTGTGATGGAATGTGGGTTTCACTCAGACAAGAGGGAGGGAGAGGAATGTTGAGCTATTACAGAAAAGACATTTGAGTCCTGGAAAAATAGAAAGCATGACAAAGAAGCTCAACTCAACTCTGCCTTGATTGTGTTAGGTATAAGTTAAAGTTAAAGGCTCTGCACTACATCCTACAACATCTTGAATCTCCAAAGACCTACACAAGGGTCCTCTTTGTAGACTTTAGTTCAGCATTCAACACCATCATTCCAGACATTCTTCTAATTAAGCTAAACCAGCTAGTGGTACCTGAACACACTTGTAAATGGATCATAAGCTTTCTAACAGACAGGAAGCAGCAGGTGAAGCTAAGCAGAATCACATCAGATATCTGTACAATTAGCACAGAGGCCCCACAAGGCTGTTTGCCCTCTCCAC